TGATAAAGTTTAATTTATAAATAAGGCACAGTAAGAGATTAACAACAATCTATATAAAAGCCTAAGCGACGTCACAACTGAACCGACAACCAAACAGGCTGTGTGGGGCAACCAGGCCGGCAGGGGGGTTAGTGAGGGATGACCAAACAACTGAGCAGCAGGCTGCGTGGGGCAATCAGGCTGGCAGAGGGGGTGGGCGGGGGCAGTTGGTGGCAATCAGGCCAGCAGGCAGAGGCAGTGAGGGGTGATCAGGCTGGCAGAGGGGGCAGTTAGAACCAATCAGGCAGGCAGGTGAGCGGTAAGAAGCCAGCAGTCCAGGATTGTGAGAGGGATGTCTGACTGCCGATTTACGTCCGATCAGCAGTCAGACATCCGCCGAGGGGTCCGATTGGAGACCACCCCCAACCGTGCATGAATTTTGTGCACCAGGCCTCTAGTAACTAATAATAAAATAGAACAATTATAACCAATCAATGAAATATGACACCAAAGCCACAAGGAACATAAATAATTGGAGTTTATAAAAGTTAAAAACTTTTGTAAAAAGGCAACCCACAGAATGGGATAAAACATTTAAAAATCATATTTGATAAGGGATTAATATCCAGAATAAAGAATTCCTAAAACTCAAAAGCAAGAAAATAAACAAAAAACAGTTCAAAAATGGGCAAAGAACTTGAATAGACATTACTCCAAAGATGATGTCAAATGGCCAAAATTGATATAAAAAATAAACATACTAAGCCCTGACCTGTTGCTCAGTGGTTAGAGCATCAGCCTACAGACCAAAGGGTCACAGGTTCAATTCCCAGTCAAGGGCACATGCCTCAGTTGCAGGTTTGATCTGGCCCTGGTCAGTGCACATGTGATGTGTCTCTCTCAAGCCCATGTTTCTCCCTCTCTTCCCCTCCTTTTTCCCTTCCACTATCTCTAAAAAATAAATAAGGGGAAAATATTCCTGGGTGAGTATTTTTAAAGAAGTTAAAAATTAAAAAGAATAAACAAACAGAAAAGTATAACAGTGGTGATCAGAGGTTGGGTAAAGAAAAGTATAGGGAATTATGGTTTCAGTCTGGGATAATGAAAAGTTCTAGACATGGTAACAGTTGTAAAACAATGAGAATGTACTTACTGTTACTAAACTATAGGCTTAAAAGTGATAAATGGTATGTGTATTTTACAATTAAAAAATTATTAAAATTGACCATCTCAACAGACCAAAGAAGGGAAATCATATGGTCATATAATTAGAGAAACAGCATCTGAGAAAATCTAATAGTATTCATTTTAAAAACGTGTAAGTACACTAAGAGTGGAAGGGAACTTCATCAACCTGCTAACCTAAAGGGTTATATTAGTTTCTGGCTAGTAAGGATAAACAATCCTCATCAGGAAGCTGGAGGTATCCCCAAAGGCCCAGGAATCGAAGAAGTAAATGATGAATGTATCCTCATCAAGAGAGTTGCAGGTGAATCACCCACAGCAGCATTAAGTGACTGTGGAAGCAGGTTCTCAACCACAAAAGCGTGCATAAGATACAGTTAGCTTTAAACATATAGTCACATACAGGAAACTCCAATGCTAGATCACCAAGAGAGAATTGGCAATACGGATTTTCCTTCTCCACTTCCATACTAGCAAGCGTAAAGAGTTCAGAAATTAGTTAAGAATATAGGAGAAGCCCTGGCCAATGTGATTCAGTTGGTTGAGTGTCGTCCCATGCACTGAAAGGTTGCTGGTTCAATACCCGGTCAGGGCATATACCCAGCTTGCAGGTTCTATCCCTAGTCGGAATGCAATGGATTGATGTTTCCCTCTCCCCTCTCTCCTTTTCTCCCTCCTCTTCTCCCTCAAGTCAATAAAAACATTTTTTACCCCCAAAATGAACATGGGGAAAGGTAAATAAGTGAGGTAGGGAAAGATAAGCAAACCACACTTTTCTTATGCCATTTACAACAGACTCCACTTTAGGTAAAA